AGGGCGCAAATACACTCAGAAGGAGAAGGAAATTTGGTGGTCATCTTTGGTGTGAAAAAGTTCCACCAATATTTTTAGACATAAATTTGTAATAGTAACAAAACACAAACTCACAGGGCTCTGCAAAGAGGACAAGGCTGTGCCGCTCATAGCTTCAGGTCGGTTTCAGCAGTGGACTTTCATTCTAAATGTGTACAATTACAAGTTGGAACACCTTCCAGGAGGTCAAGTAGCAAATGCGGATGCCTTAAGCTGCCTCCTGCTGGCAGATACACCACCAGTGGTGCCTCCCTGGAAGAGTCCATTCTCATTTTAAACTTTCTGGACTCCTTTCTGGTCACCACTGGCAATATCAGAATGTAAACACAAAAAAAATCCAGTGCAGGCAAAACTAAAACTGTGTGTTCCAGGCACCCAAGCGACTTACTTGGGCTACAGAGTTGACAAGCCTGGGTTATACCCATTGGAAGACAAAACTAAAACAACTGGTGGTGATGGGGGAAACAAAAGGGCCATCACAACCAGAACTGAAACTTTGTTGGAACATTGACAAGGCCAGATCACTGTACAAGATGGCATTTTATTATGGGGAGCAAGAGATACTGTCCCGAGATAAGGTTGCTGCCAGATACTGAACTCTACCAGGATCATTCGGGGCTGTCCAAGATGAAGATGTTGGTGAGAAGGCATCTGGTGGCTAGGACTGGATGCAGACATAGCCATGTTGGCGGGGCAGTGCCCAAAGTGCCAACAAGAACAAAAATTAGCACCAGCAGCTCCTCCACATTTGTGGGAATGGCCGGATAAAACCTGGACTTGGTTAAATGTCGACTATGCTGGCCCTTTCACAGGATAAATGTTCTTAGTCATTGTGGACACCCACTCAAAGTGGCTGGACATGCATACAGTTCAAACACGGGGACGACAATTGAAAATCTACGAGCATCTTTTGCAATACACAGGCCCCTGGAAATGTTGGTCACAGACAATGGGCCATCATTTACAAGGAGGGAAATCGAATATTTCCAAAAGTTGAATGGCATTCGGCATATAAGGACAGCTCCAAACCATCCATTGTTCAATGGTCTAGAAGAAAGAGGAGTCCAAACTTTGAAAACAAGTTTAACGAAACAGCCACAGCTTCAGTCAATATCAAGCTGTCCTGGCTCCTGTTTGATTATTGGACCACCCCTCATGCAACTAGCTCCAGCTGAGTTGCTAATGGGGAGAAGACTCTGCACCAGGTTAAGTCTGATCTTCCCGGACGTGGGGGTGGGTGGGGGCATCAGGAATGCCAATGTCAGACACAAAATTCCTCTAAGCAAAACAGGCAGTTTATTTCAGGGGGTTTGTTTGGTGCCAAAACTACAGGAATGGCCCTGTATGGATAAAAAGGCATGATTGGTGTGAGGTCAACTCCTGTGATGTACAAAGTTTGGTTAGGTGAGGTGGTCCTGAACAAGTAAGTGGACCACCTGAAAGCTGCAAACTCACAAACAGGGCAGGAGCAAAACATGTTTGGCCCCTCAGAACAGCCGGAAAGGCTGTCAGAACCCGTGGGTTCTCCCACTCCTTCTAATATTGAAGAAACCTCGGAGTCCGAGATGGACATGGCAAATGTCACAGCCTTGATGCCTTTACCGTACGAAGGAGATTAATTTCTTCCGAGATGCTCCGAGTGCAAGAGTTGGGCTACAGTCTGGTACACACCGCCCATATCCAAGGCTGAGTCAGAGGAACCAGACCCGGTGCGAAAATGCCCCAGAAAAGGCTACAAGAAAAAGAACATGCCTTCGCCCCTGAACTTAGAGGGCGAGGGATGTAGTGATTGTAATAAGGTCAGCCATGTGGATCTCATAGAATATGAGTTCCCTGATTGGAGCTGTTAACCTGGTTCAGTCAGGGAGCCCTGGGTGACAGATATAAACAGGAATGTCAGAGGTTCTGTTCACTCTGAGAGCTAGTTCTGAGGAAGCCAGACCAATGTCAAGTGCTACACACCTGCAAATAAAGGGTATGTGGAGTTATTTCAGCTAAGTAAAGTCCTGGAACTCCATCCTTAATGGCACTGAGAGTGCAACTATACCACGTGCATTGCAACAGTTCAAGAAGGCAGCTCACCATCACCTTCTGCAGGGCAATTAGGAACGTGCAGTAAATTCTGGTCGATTCAGTGATGCTAACATCCCATGAATTAAAATAATAGAGTCAAGATGAAAAGCTTTGACAGACTGTCACTTTTCTCAGCAATATTCAAGTTCTGTACCATCAAGCAACAAATTCTACAATGCTTCTGTTAATTCCACTCTTGTGACAAAAACTATTCCTAACCCTGCACCAAGTCCCTCCCTCTCCAAATTGCTCAATCACTTCTGGATTGTCTCTTACTCCCCTGTTCCACCATTATTACCCCACCACCCCATAACTTCCACCACACTGCTCCACCTCAACTGACCAATTCCTTCCTGCTTCAGTACTTTCTAATCACTTTCCATCCTCTCTCTTCTTCAAATTGCCTGAGGACTGACAGTGTAATCGTATTCACTGGAGAGCTGCCTGGAACCAACCAAACAGTGGCTGCAGTTCACTGTAAGTAAAAAACAATACTGAGTTCATGTTGGGCTTAACTATTCTGGTACAACAAATGTTCCCTGTGAGCAATTCATGTCAAGTCAACTATTTTTTATTAACTAATTTGATTGGAATGGAATCTCAGGGAGGACAGCAGAAGCACTGAAGGGCCAATTAGCTGTTCAGCTGTTGGATGGATGAACTGAGAATGGCCAAACCATTTTTCTTATCCCTAACTATCTTAACTGCACAGAACTAAAATATTCTGTAGCTGAAGGAAGTGAGAAATCAGTCACTAACCTTTCCCCAAATGCAGTACAGTAATTGTATTCCACATAATAAACTCTAACAGTGGATTTTACCAGTCCTTCAGAGATTAGTTTGAAGTTGGATGAGGATGAGCAAAATTGGACGGGGACTTTCATTTAATGGGGGCAGGGGGGTGGAGTCTAGTCGAAGATAAATTTATAAGTCTGAAGAGATAGGTCAGGTCTACAAGCAGATTGGAGTGAAATCTAGCAGGCTGAATCATAGAATAGGGAGTTTAATGATGATAGTATGGGGATTAGTGAAAGAGGGCACACCAGATTTAAAAATGTGAAAATTAAAGATGCTCCTTTGAAAGCGAAAGCAGACATTACAAAAGAGATAAATTAATTAAGTTAAATTATAATTAATAATTAGAGGTAAATATGTTTGATCAAGTAGCTAACATTACAATGTCATTACATGGTGACGAAGGTTGGGAATTATGTATTCTAAGCTGAGTTGATGATACCAAAATTGGTGATATAGTGGATGGCAAAGAAGGTTGCCTCAGTGTACAAGAGGACTTGATCAGATGGACCGATGGGCCAAGGAGTGGCAGATGGAATACAATCTAGATAAATGTGAGGTTCTACATTTTGGTGGGGCAAATCACAGCAGGACTTATACACTTAATGGTAAGGCCTTGGGAAGACCTTGGAGTGCGTGTTCCTTGAAAATGGACTCACAGATAGACAGGCTAGTGAAGAAGGCATTTGGTACACTCGCCTTTTTTGGTCAGTGCATCAAGTTTTGGAGATCGGAGGTCATATTGTGGCTGTACCGGACACTGGTTAGGCCACTTTTTGAATACTGCATTCAATCCTCGTGTCCCTACTATAGGAAAGATATTGTTAAACTTGAAAGGGTTCGGAAAAGATTTACAAGAATGTTGCCAGGATTGGAGGGTTTGAACTCTAGGAAAGAGAGTGAACAGGCTGGGGTTGTTTTCCCTGGAGCATCGGAGGTTGAGAGGTGACTTTATAGAGGTTCACAACATCATGAGAGGCATGGAAAGGGTGAATCATCAAGGTCTTTTCTCCAAGGTAGGGGAGACCAAACCTAGAGGGCATAGGTTTAAGGTGGCAGGGGAAAGATTTAAAGGGGACCCAAGGCGCAATTTTTTCATGCAGAGGGTGGTGCGTATATGGAATGAGCTGCCAGAGGAAATAATGGAGGCTGCTACAATTACAACTTTTAAAGGCATCTGGATGGGCATATGAATAGGAACAGTTGAGAGAGATATGGGCCAAATGCTGGAAAATGGGACTAGATTAATTTAGGATATCAGGTTGGCATGGACAAGTTGGACTGAAGGGTCTGTTTCTGTGCTTTACATCTCTAATGACTCTCAGCTGTAGATATTTAATTAGTGAGCATATTTAGATCAGATCTTAGGGCACTATGGGAATCAAGGACAATGAGGATAGAATAAAAAAGTGAAATTGATGCAGTTACTGAATGGTAGTTAGAACACAGCAAGCCAGACAGTATCTGGAGGAAAGGAGAAGTCAACGTTTCGGATACTACCCTTCTTCAGGACTCTTCCAGTCTCCTGTTTGTCTACCTTGGATTCCAGCATCTGAAGTCTTTCTGTCTCTTCCTGAATGGCAGAGCAGGCTTTGAGGGCTGCGTGGCTTACTCTTTGTATTTTGTATGCTCTCTACATCAAAACGAGTGCATTTGATATGGAGTTACCATTTCAGTGTAATTGGTGATTTCCTCACTGATGTCTGTGGGATCCTTCTCTGTAAACCTGACAGGGCACTTCGCCTACTTTTCGACACGTACATAAAGCACATCGGATCATTTTTAAGGTCATGTGTACCACTTGCAGATTCAACACACTTGCCTTACCATTCAAACTAACTTGAGCTGCTCTCCTCACCCTCTAACCGCCATCTCCGCCCTTTGAATAAACACCCGCCTCCTCGCCAAACCCATTGGCGACTCTCATAGAGTTACCAGACCCTCAGGCACCATTCTTTTATTGGCTAATTCTCACGTCAGTCACGAGCAAGATGAGCCAATCGCCTGGAGTCTTCCGCGGTGGGTTGTGAGGGTTGTCGTTTACCCGGCCTGTATCACGTGACAGGCCGGTCACCAACACCCCAGCATTCGCGGCGGCGGTGGCGCATGCGCGTTGAGCACTCAGCTGAAGGGTCTCCATTTTACTTCCGAAAGATAATATCGGGCGTTCGAGCGGGGCGAGGGCCAGGCCACTGATACTCCCCCCAAACTTCTCACCTTATTCCCTCTCTGTTGGCCCGGCCGAAGTTTAAATGGCAGCCGGGGCCCGACCATGGACATCAAGACGGCAGTTTTCAATGCAGCTCGGGACGGCAAGTTGAAACTTATGCAGAAGTTGCTGGACAACCGGAGCGCCGAGGAGCTGGAGGCGGTGACATTGGAGAAAACCAATGGCGGCACCCCCCTGCTCATCGCCTCCAGGTATGGCCACCTGCAGGTAGTGGACTACTTGATGGAGCACTGCAAGGCCAAGGTGGAGCTGGGCGGCTCGGTCAATTTCGACGGGGAAACCATCGAAGGGGCCCCGCCGCTGTGGGCAGCGTCGGCCGCTGGGCACCTGTCGGTGGTCCGGACTCTCCTGGAACACGGGGCGTCCGTTAACAACACCACCCTGACCAACTCTACTCCACTGCGGGCCGCCTGCTTCGACGGCCACCTGGAGATCGTCAAGTACCTCATCGAGCACAGAGCAGACATGGAAGTGGCCAACAGGCATGGGCATACTTGCCTCATGATCTCGTGCTATAAAGGGCACAAGGAGATTGCCAAGTATTTGCTGGAGAAAGGAGCGGATGTGAATAGGAAGAGTGTGAAGGGGAACACTGCTTTGCACGATTGTGCAGAGTCAGGAAGTCTGGAAATCATGAAAATGCTGCTAAAATGTGGGGCTAAAATGGAAAAGGATGGTTATGGAATGACCCCCTTACTTGCTGCCAGTGTCACAGGCCACATGAATATTGTGGAGTTTCTTATTAACCATGTGCAGACCAAGAAGGAAGACCGAATTGATGCACTTGAACTATTGGGAGCTACGTTTGTTGATAAGAAAAGGGATTTGCTGGGAGCCATGAAGCTTTGGAAGAGAGCAATGGAGAAGAGGCATAGTGATAAAAGCAAAGTAGTTAAGAAGCCACAAGTGGGTCAGTTGGTACTAGCCTATGATTATGCAAAAGAAGTTACAACATCTGAAGAGTTGGAAGCTTTGATCACTGACCCAGATGAGATGAGAATGCAAGCTTTGTTGATCCGAGAGAGAATTCTTGGTCCATCCCATCCAGACACTTCCTACTATATTCGTTATCGAGGTGCAGTTTATGCTGATTCTGGAAACTTTGAAAGGTGCATCAATTTGTGGAAGTATGCGCTGGATATGCAGCAGAACAATTTAGACCCATTGAGCCCTATGACTGCTAGTAGTTTGCTCTCCTTTGCTGAGCTTTTTTCTTTTGTCCTGCAAGACCGTCCAAAAGGCACCTTGGCCATGAAAGTATCTTTCAATGATCTTATGGGCATCTTGTGCAAAAGCGTTCGTGAAGTTGAGCGGGCAGTGAATCAACGAGAGAACCCACCTGATGTTGCACAATTCACAAAAGCTTTATCTATTATTTTACACTTGATCTCCTTGTTAGAAAAGGTGAAATGTCGCGCTGATCAGGACCATTACAAGAAGCAAACCATCTATCGGTTGTTGAAGCTGAACCCAAGAGGGAAGGGTGGATTTACCCCATTACATCTAGCGGTTGACAAGGACACAACATCAGTTGGCCGTTATCCAGTTTGCAAGTTCCCTTCATTGCAAGTGACCTCGGTACTGCTGGAATGTGGTGCTGATGTTGACTCGAGAGATTATGAGAACAACACTCCCCTGCATATAGCTGCATTCAACAACAATCTTGATATTATGAACATGTTAATTGACACTGGTGCACATTTTGATGCCACCAATTCTTCCAAGAAAACTGCTTGGGATTTGCTGGATGAAAAGAAGATGGCCAAGAATTTGATTCAACCCATCAACCACATCACCCTGCAGTGCCTTGCTGCTCGTGCCATTGAAAAACATAAGGTCATTTACAAAGGATTAATTCCAGAAGAATTGGATGCTTTCATTCAACTACATTGAAGTGCAAAATTAAGTCTTTATGAATTTGGATGCATGGTTCACATAAGGATTTAATAACTCGCTGACATAAATATGATAGAGACACTTCAGTGGGATTAAAATCAATCCGCCTCCTGAAGGGCTATTTCAATTTTAGGGCTAAGTGCACGGAACAAATTTAGTTTGGCAGAATATATGCTGGTTGATATCTGCTAAACTGTCCATTCTGAATTGTAGCAAAAGACCAGATGTTGGGTGAAGGAAATCCAATAATTCACTTAGAGAAAATTAGTTTATAATCTGCAATTTTTTTTTAGTCTTGTACACTCTTCACTTGATTTTTCCTGTTGCAACCACTGTTGCTACATCCCATGTCATTTTACGTTTTGTGGATTTGGAAGTTCTGATTTCTGCACACACCATACTCTCAGCTGTACTTCATTATTGTAGGAAAATCTAAACATACCCAATAAATCCTGTGTCCCCTGTATATTTCAGCTGCCTTTTAAGATTCAGCAAATAATATATTCACAGTAAGTGCAGCAACGTCCAAAGAAACGCACGAGTGTGGGTTACACTTTAAATTTCAATATGAAATAGGCTACCAAAATGAAACACATAACACGCTCAATGGAATACTGGGGTAAAGATCAATCAGAGTATTTCCCTACTACTGCAAAGTGGAAATAACATCAGAACTGGAAACAATTAGTGTTCTGTTCAACATCAGATAAGTCAGTTAATTGCAGATTCCAGTCAACCTATTGAGTTTGCACCATTTGCTGTTCCAACATTAGACGTGACTTCTGAGTTATGTACACAGATGTTATAGTAAATAGTTACTATTTTGCTAGACAGCGTTTTGTAAAACTAGCTTTTACTTTTATTGGCAGGCCTAAGAGTTGGTTTGTTAAACCAGTGGGCTTATTTTACCTTCAAATATTACTATGATATTGAAATCGTGTCCAACCTAATGATTTTAACTTTATGCCTTTCAACATTCAATCATCTGTTTGAAACATATCTGTTACAAGACTCGGAGTTTATAAAGGATTCTTCATAGATTAGACAGAGGAATGAAATAATGGAAAGAAGCACAGGCACTTTGAAGGTCCTCTACTCGGTAAAATATCCAGCATGTTCTAATGATTGGTAGATGTGTCCTACCTAATTTTCTTCTGGCTATGATTTTTCTAAAAGAGTGTGGCTATTTACAATTTGTGTTTTATTTTTAAACAGTTGGAACTGAACTGGTTACCCTCCTTGAGGTTGATGGACTTTGTTACTGTTTATGAAATAGTGCCAAAATTTTTCAGCTTCTTTTGGCCCCATCAATGATACACGTCTCGCTTATCACCAAAACACTGAAGTGACATCAGTCCTAAATTCCAGGAATTGATCAACAAGTTTAATAAATGGAGGCTCACTATTGTAGCTAAGCTGGTTTTTGAGAAAATATCATACACCGTTCAACCAAACTATTACTTGAACAATTCACTTTGGACAGGATCATCTCTTGTTCTTATGAATAATTTTTATTTGTATTAGCATGCTTCTGTCAGGGACTAACTGTTTTAGTTATAAGGTTTAACTCACCACTGGCTGTTTTGGCATCAGTGAATGGTACGTGTTTGAAATCAGATATGGTTATCTGATTCTGTAACGCATCCAGTTATCTTTGTACTTTCCCTGCATCCATGTAGTCAGTCTTGAGATACTACCCTTCACAAATATACACACATCCTTTTGTTTGCAATCCGTTACAAAAAATCAAAAGGCTATGCAAAACTAGATTTAAGTTGTTTCTCACAAATGAGAATTAGCAGCCTTGAATCCTTCAGATGGTATTTCACCAAACTCTAACCCTTTGATTTAGAATATTTGGAAAGGAGATGGCCATGCAGTTTAGTTTCTTGATTTGTGTGTGTTCAGAAAAATGGAGAATGGTCAAAGTGAATTTGTTGTAACAACAGAACTGCAATAAAAAAAGTAAGCAAAGAAAATATTTTGTCAAAGGCACACATACTGAAGTGAAACAGAGCAGATACCTTTTTTGGGAACATAACATCTTTTGGAACTTGCACATTCGTTAACTGCAAAAAATATTTTCCTTAGCACTGGATGTGTGTCTCATTTGACCTTTGTTGAGCCACAAGCCTGTTAATAGATCAGTTGTTCTCTGAAACAGATGTGTGGGCTTTTTTTTACCAGTGTAAAAATGTAACTGCAGTTACGATAAAGGGATTTTAAAGGAAGGCAGAGATTTTTAAACACTGTTGTAAATACTTGGAGTGTTAAAGGCACTATGTATAGATCTAATTTGTTTTAATGGGTCTTTATTTTATGGGGAACTTGCAAACCCACTGTGTGACTGCATGTTTTCACACATGCATAAGAATGCTAATACTGATTTCTTCTTCGTAATACAATTAAATGTAGCTTTTAGAACCTATTTATTTTAGCACATTCTTCGCCCAGAGTTTACACTAGATTGTTTGGCTTGAAGAGTATTAAATGTAAATTGCTGCTGAGCTATACCAGTGATTGTATGGCTCTTATAATAAATGTATATCCAAAACAAGCTGATGGAGAATACTAATTATTCATCCCTTCTTAAAAACAAATGATAAATCTAAGGAAAGGATACCTATAGCTCAAAGGAGAATGGAAAGACCACAGTTAGGGAGTTGAACTTTAGGATTCTACAAAGATTCAAGGAAGAAATCAGTGCCTCCTTGACTTCAACATACAGCAGGAGAATACAGCAAATCAAGTTCGCAAATCAATGACCATCATAATATTAATTTTACAAAATGATTAAAAATGACTGTCTAGTCCTTCCAGATATTGAAAGGATGATTCAGTGGTGCCTCACTATATGGGTGATCAATGCTAAAATGTTGATGGATAGTGTGTTGATAGCTGTTAACAAGAAAGATATTTGTAATGTCAGAAGAATTGAACTTGATAGTAACTTTAGCAATAGAGACACTGAAAGGTGTCAATTTTCTTGTTTTTGAATTTCTCTGTTCTTAGCCCACCAAATCTTTGTAAACCCCTCCAAGTTACCTGGTCTCTAAGCATCCACAATTTTAAATCACTTCATTGTTAGCCTCACATTCAGATAGTTAGGTCCTGGGTTTTAGAGTTTCCGCTAGAAAATCCCTGTGCCTCTCATTGTACTTTCTCCCTTTAAGGGAGGATTCCTTTACATTTTTGATCAACTTTTGATGATCTCTCCTGATATCCCATGTGATTCAGTGTCAATTTTTATAGCGTCCACATGAAAGCACCTTGCAAAAGTCATAAAAGTCACACAGCATAGAAACAGTCCAACTTGTCCATCCTGACCAAGTTTCCCAAACTAAACTCGTCCCACTTGCCTGCATTTGGCCCATATCCCTCTAAACCTTCCCTATTTGTGTACCTGTTCAAATGTCTTTTAAACATTATAATGGTACTTGCATCCACCACTTCCTGTGGCAGTTTATTTCACATACAAACCACCCTGTATGAAAATGTTGCCCCTCCAGGCTCTTAAGTCCTTCTCCTCCCACCTTAAAAAAAATTCAGGTGAAAGGTGTTTTATGAATGAATTTTTGGAAAACTCAGGCTACCTTCAGAAGTTAGAAAATGACAGCTTTTAATTTGATTAAAAGGACTTTGTATCTTCAACCATTCACTATTTGAACATTTCCACTGGCATTCACCCATGTATTGTTTCAATTAATTGAAACATAGGAGCAGGAGTAGGCTGTTTGGCTCTTTGAGTCTGCTGTTCAATTTAATATGATCGTGGCTGAATACCCTGTTCCTGCTTTCTCCTGTACTCTTTGATTCCTTCAGCTGTTTAAGAAAAAACTAACTCCTTGAAAATATTAAGTGTTTTGGCCTCAATTGCTTTCTGTGACAGAGAATCCCACAGGCTCACTACTCTGTTAGTTAAGAAATTTCTCCTCATCTCAGTTCTAAATAGCCTACCCCATATCCTTAAGACTGTAACCCCTGATTTTGGACTCTGCAGTGGGAAGGTGATGGCCTAATGGTATTATCGCTGGATGGTTAATCCAGAGACCAAATAATGTTCTGGGGAACTGGGTTTGAATCCTGCCACAGCAAATGGTGAAATTTGAATTCAATTTTTTAAGATATCTGAATTAAGGGTGTAATGTTGACCACAAATTCATTGTTCATTGTGAGAAAAACCTATCTGGTTTACTAATGTCCCATAGGGAAGGAAACACCCTTCAGGTCTGGCCTACATGTGACTCCAGACCCACAACGTGATTGACTCAACTGTTCTCTGGACAATAAATGCTGGCCTAGCTCGTGATGCCCTCATCCTGTGAATGAATTTTAAAAAGTCATCAAGAATGTCCTTCCTGTGTTTCCCTTGTCTGGTCCTGTTCAAATTTTAAATGCTTCAACAAGATAGCTCCTCATTTTTCAAAACCCCAGTGGATATAATCCCAACTGGTCCAGTTTCTCTTCTTAATGTCAGTCTTTCATCCCAGGAATGCTTCTGGTAAACCTTTGTTGCAGTCCCTCCATTGCCAGAATATACTTACTCAGATAAGGAGACCAAAACTGTACACAATACCCCACATGTGGTCTCATCAATGCCCTGTACAATTGCAACAAGACATCCCTGCTCCTGCAGTCAATCCTTTTGCTTTGAAGACCAGCATACCATTTGTATGCTTCACCACCTTCATGCTGACTTCCAGTGACTAGTGTACGAGGATATCCAGGTCTCAATGCACCTCCCACTTTCCTAACCTGTTCGTAGTCACATAATTTGCCACCTTGTTTTTGCTTGCAAAGTGGATAACCTCACATTTAGCTACATTATATTTATCTGCCATGCAATTGCCAACTCAATCAACACATCCAAATCACACTGCAGCACCTTTGCTGCATCCTCACAGTTCACCATTCTACGCAGCTTTGTGTCATCTGAAAAGGTGGAGATTTACATTTACTTCTCATTTATATTGTGAATAGCTGGGATCCAAACACTGATCCCTGCGGTCACTGCCCGCCACTGGGTGGGGGGGAATACCCATTTATTCTTACTCTGTTTCCTGTCTGCATTATTATAGAATTATATTATAGATTATACAATCCCAATGGTGTGGAAACAGGCCCTTCGGCCCAACAAGTCCACACCGACCCTCACAGCATCCCAACCAGACCCATCCTCCTGTAACCCACCTAACCTACACATCCCTGAACATTCTGGGCAATTTAGCATAGCCAATCCACCTAACTTGCACATCTTTAGACCGTGGGAGGAAACTGGAGCACCCAGATGAAATCCACGCAGACATGGGGAGAACGTGCAAACTCCACACAGACAGTTGCCCAAGGCGAGAATCGAACCTGGGTCCATGGCGCTGTGAGGCAGCAGTGCTAACCACCGTGCCATCGAACTAGTGCCAACTAGTTCTCTTTCTGTGACATGCCGCTAGCCCAATCCCTTGCTCTTTATTTTAAATGCCAATCTCTTATGCGGACCTCATTGAAAACCGCCTGAATGTTCAAGTAAAGCATGTCCATTGGCTCCCACTCAGCAACTCTACTAGTTACATCCTCAAAACTCCAGTACGTTTGACAAGCCTGATTTCCCTTCCATAAATCTGTACTGACTGATCCTGTCATTGTTTTGAAGCTGCTCCAATTCATATTACACCAAGGTTTTAAGAGGAAGTGTTCAGGTCAATTGTAATTCCTTCTCCCATAGATTAACTGGTCATTCAGAGTGAAAAAATGGCAATGACAATGAACACATATTTTGATACACACTGGAAGACCACAAGTTGCATGGTGCAAAGAAAGTGTGACCTCTCTGCTAAAAAGAGGAAATGAACGTTAATCCACATAAAACATTTTTTTCTTCTTCTTCTTTCAGTCATTAACTGAGCTTCAGTTGCTTCTAACTGCATTTTTTAAATTCCAGAAACACATTGACCTTGAGAATATCAGCATGCGTAAACTTGACCCATTCAGTCTGAAATGCTTATTTTAGTAGCAGTGTCTAGCCATAGGTTAAAGGCTCATAACTGCCCCACAATACAACTTCAAGGCCACAACTTTCTGGTTGTTCATGCCACAACACAAGGCAGCACTTCCCAAATACATGCAATCTCAACGTCAGTGTCAGAGTGGCAGCTACTCTGTTAAACAAGTTGGCTTTCATGCAGACTAATAAAACTGGGTAGTCTTTAACCACCTGCAAGTTCTTGTAGACACTTTAATTTATCAAGAGTTCTCTCTAAAATATGCTTCTGACAATTCAGTGAATGAAGAAATGTAATCAACAAATTTCAGTAAACAAGAGGAGAACTGATCATAAAATGTTTCGGTAAAAAGAAAATCAATGAAAACACTTTGGATAAAACACAGATTTATTTTCTCATGTAGGATTTGAAACAACACCACTGGGGTTAAGAGTGTGACCATCATCCAACTAAAGCTACATTTTCAGGGCTTCCCTGGACAATGTCTCAAATAACTAGGTAAAAATGAGCATATAAATAAACTTGTACATTGTTCATTTTTAATGGTCTTATTTATTACAGATTGTGGCAGGTTAATTGGTATTATGAGAGGAATGGGGCAGTTGATCTCTTTAACAGTGTAGCCATTTCTCTACCTTTACTAAATCAAATTGTCAATGACAGCACCAACATTCATTCAGTGGTGACATAAGCAGGCAGCTTCACAAAAATGGCATCAGGAATAGACGCGCAAATGCCAACTGCAGTGTGGGTTGAATGCACAAACACAACTTGCTGCACATCCAATTGGCAGCAGGAGTTACAGTGGCATTTTAATAGTTGGTCTGGACAATTAAATTTTGTTCTTTAATTGTCAAAATTGACAATAAAATTTGAGAAGCAACCTGTGTTCTATAAATTTGTCCCTCAAACAATTTAAAAGTGTTTTCACCATTTGTAACCAGGAATTTCAATTTTTCTTAAAAAAGTATTATTTAGGAATCAGGATAGAAGAAATCCATCATTCAGTGTCCATATTACTGAAAACACATTAACACAGCTGATTGCCTAATCCAGTGTGTGCGCACTGCGTGCAAGATTACAGTGCTTTCTCAAACTAAACCCAAAGAATTAAGGTGCAAATCGCCACTGCTGGAGTTTAAAAAAGACTCAATACCAATAGTCTGTCCACAGCTTGTCTGGCTAGGACTATCTTGCAAACTTGGGCATTGGCTTGCAGGATTATTTAGTGCTGTGTGGAAAGAATCCCTGCTTGCTACTCCCAAATCTAATAAATAAATCAGGACTAGCTGATTGATCATCAACAGAACCCCAAGATATTTGCCTCGTTCAGATAATATTTTACAGATTCTGACAGGGTATTCAATTCTAAACTTTTCTCCAAGCATTCCTAATCAGTGCCTGGGTTCATTTCATCTGCTCCCCAAGAAGGGTAATTTCAGCATTAAGGGATCAACTATATGTTGCAGGTTGCATGTACCTCTGCAGTTTTTTTTGCTGTAAACAAGACTTGAATTCTAATTGCCAGAAGGGACAACTTTTCTTCCAATTTGATCCTTTGACCTTCGTACACAAAACCAACAACTTTCACTCCCCGGTTTTCACTCTCCTATGCAGACAGGAGGCCACATGGGAATGAGATCAGGTGTAATGTTCATCACTGTCGGAGAGACTTGCTGCTTGGGAAAAATGAACAGTGACCTTGAAATGTGCCTCTATAAGGGAGTTGCCTCCACCTTCCGGAAGGCATAGGGAAAAGGCAAAGCTAAGATTCGTGCCAGGCATAACTCAGTATCAACATCAGGCAATACCATTAACCAATACTTCACTGTAAAACTTTTGGAACAATCGAAAGTCAAAGTCAGCTAACTTGTGTCAACAATCAACAATGCCAGCTCCACCAACTTTACAATGCACTTATTTGGCTTGAAACAAGCATTAATGCACAATAATAATGATGACCGTGCATTAAGTGAGAAGAAAAAACCACGAAAAGGATTGTGTTAATCATTTTAAGTAGTTCAATTTTAGGAATCAAACAAAGCTACTATAGCTATCACAAGGAAACCAGATAAAACTGGTAAGGTTCTCCACAATACCCAGAATGAAATGCTCAGTCCCCCCCCTTCCCCACGCTTCTCTTCACCCTTCCTCATTCATCCCCAGGAACTCATTCCCATAAGCTTTCCGCACATTCTCACTCACACAGATCCCTCTGTCTGACCTTCAGTCTTTCACACTTTTCACATCTGTCCCAGAAGTAGCAGAAAAGAAAAAGGGGAGAGTTACATTTATAGAGCACTTCTCATGACCAGCAGACATTGCAAAGCACCTTGCAGCTAATGAAGTACTCATTAAATGTAAACACAGTTGTAATTATAGAATGGTTACAGCAAAAAAGGCAGCCATTTGGTCTGTCTTGTCCATGCCAACTCTTAAGCAACTCAGCTAGTTCCACTCTCCTGCCCTTTCCGTGTAGCCCTACAAATCTTTTCAGATAATTATCCAATATTTTTGAAATCTACGACTGACCTGTCTCTACCACATTCTCGTTAAGTCGTACAGCATGGAAACAGACCCTTCAGTTCAACTAGTGCACAACAACCCTCTCAACAATGCAATTCAGATATTAACTAGTGGCTGTGCAACAAGAAGTTTTCCTCACATTGTTATTAGTTCTTTCAGCAGCTACTATTCCACTGAGGCACTCAGTCATCATTACTGTATACTACTAACTCTCAATGCTGCTGGACAGTAATTTTCCCCTTCCCAAAGATCAAATGATAATTCTATTTCATCGAGTGTTTGACAGTGGTGTTGTAGCAAGGAGCAGCACCACACTGTCTGTGTCTGGTTAACGTGTATCGAAGTAGAGCCACTGGGTTGCAATCAGGAGCAACTATCCTGCAGCAACTCATATCTAATTCCAGCTTCCCTGTCAAAGCCTTGCAGTAATCATAGAACTGAGCTCAGAGTGGCAAAGTACACCATATAATAAAACCTGATCTGCCTGCTGGCAAAGCAGAATATTTCTGTACAGCAGAAGGTAAAGAAAATTATACACTTTACATTTAGAGTCATAGAATCCCTTTTGCGCATCAAGTCTGCACTAACCCTCCAAACAGCATCCCACCCAGACCAAGCCCCTACCCATCCCTGTGACCCCGCATTTACCACGGCTAATCCATCTAAGCTGCACATCCCTGGACCCTGGGAGGAAATCTGAGCACCTGGCAGAAACCTACACAGACATGGGGAGAACTTGCAAACTAGAACCCCAAGCCCTGGCACTTTGAGGCAGCAGTGCTAACCACAGAGCCACCATGTCGAGCGGTTACACTGAGTTTAATTTCAGATAATACATTTAAAAGAATCCACAATCCAACTGACCTTTGATTTCTCAATCAATGAAAATAACTTGCAAGACATCTAATCGTGCTCACTATCTCCCTCCTCATCATCATCTGTGATTTCACAGCTCTCAGTCAAATCTGTTATTGTCATCTGGTTGGAGTCCCCTATCTGTACATTTTTGGCATGCTGAATCTGGATTATGTTAGTGCCTTGACTTTGCTGTTGTGTGGAACTACTGACAGTTAGATTTTGACCTCCTTGGCTATTGCTAGGATTAATGACCTGAAAGGGTGGTTGCATGATGTGGTAGATGGCATGCTGCGGGTTGAAATTTGGCTGGTTCGGTAAACATGATAAAGGAAGATTAAACCCAGGAAATACAGGGAGGTTGGGATAAGGTGGTGGATTTAGCACAGGTTGTGCATGTCCATTAACTGCAGCAAGTCCAGGATGGGGTGGATACATTGCTTGGAAGTGTTGATAACTCTGTGCGAGTTGACTACAAATCTGCATATAATTCCTGTCAGCTGATAGGGCTTTCATGGCATTTTGATAGTCTTTTTTGGCCTGTGCTGTTTTTTCTTCTATCTGTTTATGTCTTTGCTCCTGAAGCCAACTTTTTTTATGCCTCTCAAGTACATCCCAAGTAAATGTCTTTCTTATATGTCTTTCAAAGTGTCTCGAATTCTCATCGAGACTATTAATAGCAGTCAATGCAAAAGGGATGTTGTTTTTACACATTCGATTCTTCTTCGGTAGCAACGGAATGACTGTGTTGTACTTGTGCTCATTTCTGATTGAATGCATCAGAACACTATTGGTTTCATACTCTTCCCAGTGACTGTTAAAATTGTGTGTAAGGAGAAGGATTGTGAACGCAGAGTTGTTAACTGCATCTTCAATACACTTTATTGGACATTGTCCTGGAAGAGAAAATTCCTCAGAAAACGTTGCCCCCTCCATTTTTATTAATGATTCTAGTCTCAATTGAACACTTTCTGCCATTTCTGCATCTTCTCGGGCATGCAAGACAACAAAAGAGTAAAATTTGTTCTCAAAGATTTCCTCATCTGACAGATGAGGAGGTGCTGAAAGGCTGAATTTTCTAGACATGGTTTCAGAGGAGTTCAACTGGTCACTTGTTAGCAGCTTGGTTGCTTCCGGTGAAGGATCATGTGAAATGGAATTGGTGTGTTCTTCATTCCCTGTCCCCCAGTCCTCTGACATTTTTGACTTTGAACTAACTCGCTGGCCACTGTTTGTTTCTCCTGTACATTCTGTTGGTTTCACTTCATTCACTTGTGTGTGTGAAGAACCTCTAGTTGGACAATTCGAAAGAACATTCTTCTGTTTTCCACATTTAACTCCAATGCCATCGGTCACCTTCACCTCTTCCAAAGATTTGTAAGAAGTCAGATTCAATGGTATTTTGGTAGAATGATCAGGGTTAACACTGTTTTCTTCAGTGTTTGCTATTGGGGAGTTTAAGTTGTCCCTATGTGAATTGGAAATGAATGATGCAGGGGGAGATGTGCTGATTTCAAAATGAGTGGGTATTGTAATTCCTGAACTGTTCAGTGAGTCAGTTGCTGGTTTACTAGGGACAGTTATTGGATTGGTCCTGCTTGTAATGGTTGATTTCATACTTGGAATTTGTTCTTCAGTTGACTTCAGAGCTGATACTTCAGCATTCTCCTCATCTTCAAATGTTATAGGACCAAACTGCAACCTAAATTCCTCAATAACTTCCTGAAGATCTATTTTGTGCTCTTGATTGTTGGACTTGAATGCTTTGATGGCAGCTTGACATGCTCGGTTCCTCATGGAAGGGTTGCACAAATTTTCTTCCACGAGCATTCCAAGCATCAAAGCCAGGTCTCTGAGGACATTACCATCTTCTGCAGAAAACTCTTCATTCGATATTTCAGCTGTTTTCTGTTCTCGCTCTGCATCACCTTCAGAACCTCGAATTTTATTCAGAATGCACAAAGCAGATCTATTCTTTGGCAATTCATTTAACACTAACAACGCTGCTCTCTCGGCCTCATCTTTCTTTTTCAAGAAGAATGATACGATGCTGTAAAGGAGTTGATGAACATTTGAAGTTCTTGAGTTGTCAGGATTAAACTTATACCATAGGCTGAACAACCTTTGCTCAGCGACTTCAGACAAAATGTTAAACAAATCATCAAGAGATGGAACGTGATCACAATCCTCTGCCATAACTGCACCTAGTATCAAGGTGGAGTCAACCTACTGGAACATGAAGGAACCAGCCCGTCTTTTGACATTACTTCCAATTCCATTTAGGCTGATTGGACAATAGAAGCTCATCTCATGGGCACATCATACTGGGATTAGAAGTTTTTAGTCTACAAACACTGTGTGCACCTTCTAATGTCACTTCTTAGGTTGACTGAGATGCTTTGCTGGGCTTCATCAGTTCTGTCTGAAAGAGAAAGGGAATACAATAGTTATTTTTCTGTTTGACAACAATTTCAAGACTAATATTGTACATGTTTTTCTCTCCTTTTTTACGCAGTTTGTTGGTACAGAGAACTGATTCCATAGTTAGGTAGCTATTCTTCAGGTATGAACCTGAATTACCCATACAGAATATCACAGGATAGAGCTCTCCTCTCTTCAAATTAATGACCACACACTCACATTACAGTGGGAGATAATGAATAACACTCGAGTAAGATGCCCATTTTTGTGCATGTTGCACTACAGGAGCTTAATGTCACTCCAGTTGAAACCAGCTAATTCAATGCAATTTGGTGTTCAAATTCAAGTCTTTCATCATCGTGGCTCATTGCTACGTTAAATCATACTAATGAGCCACATCTGTATTGATACAGTCATTTGGGAAATCCTGCTTTATTCAACAGAAACAAAATAAACCTAATGATTCCTCTCATCAGACTCTAAATTCATGAAGTTTTATTTCCCCGTTAAATGGTATTTAAGTTACGATAGGGCTAGAAGATATCCTATGGCATTGCTCCTCATATACCAGATGCTGAACTGTTTTACAAGCACAGGGACAGTTACACAATATAAATGTATCATTATCATGATCTTGGTAGAGGCTGATAACATTTTGATTATTTCTTTTGGAAATCCAAAAACCCAGATACTTATTGAAATATAGCCACATGGTTCATGGTTTAAAACAAAAGAATTTTACAACAAAAATCAGTGAACATGTCTGCCTATAATTATGCTCTTAGTCAGTTCCATCAAAGATATTAAAAATACTTGTACTGTAAACTGAACTCGACTCAAAATGTTCTTCAACAATCATTTAACTTAAAACAGCCAAAAAGAGCCCAAGTCATATATTTAACAGAAAATGGGAGATGAATCACTTGGTCTGAATATTGTTTCAAATATTTGTATAAGGATTGATATTTCTTGGGCCTCTCACTTATTTCCAAAGATTTTGTCCCTTCAAATCTTCTCCAACTGTCCCTTCAGCTGTAGCCTCCGCATGTAACAAAGGCTATCATCTTAACCATAACTATCTCAGGACAGAACTCCTGTGGTTTTAATATTCTTCAACTCTGTTGTCTTGCACATAGAAACTATTTTTCTCATCCTCTCTTCCCTGTTTAGCTATCCCAGAAGTCCAACTCACTGTTGGTAGAGTCATTCAGTTATCAAGGATTTTAATCCCTTTTGGCTCGTTCACTAAGTTTCAGCTGAATTTTGCTTGAAACAGATGTTCCCTGCCACCAATGCTTTCTAAACGACTTATAAACAGAAACATACACAGAGAATGCTAGAGAAACTCAGCAGGACTAGCAACATCTGTGAAGAGAGAAACAGTTATTTTTTGAGTCTGGTATGACTAAGGTTCTGAAGAAGAGTCATACCAGACTAGAAATGTTAACGCTGTTTCTCTCTTCACAGATGTTGCTAGTCCTGCTGAGTTTCTCCAGCGTTCTCTTTGTTTGTTTCAGATTTCCAGCATCTGCAGTATTTTGCCTTTATCTGCTAGAAAACACAACCATACACACAGACCTTCCCTCTGTGTTATTAGCTCTGTGTTTACCCTTTGTTTTACTATTGATTAATCTCCTTCGGCAACTTTGTCACTTGATCGGTTGTTTGGATGCAAGTTGCATTTTAATGGAAATCATCTCCCAGAGAAATCCAGTTCTTAAAGGAACCATCACCCCACATAAAATATAGACTTTGCTCCAAAATACACACGGAACATCACATTATTCTGCTGCTGATATCTAGCTAAATTTAACATGATATATCCCATTTACACACAATTCTAATTGCTGTAAGCATAGCCTGAAGTCAATAGGTTGAATTGCTTCTTGATGTTGCAAAATCTACCGATTAAGTGGTGTAAATTTCCTCAGCAAGTTCAGAAAAAAGTCTAAAATGACCACTATTAGTATTTTCTGTTTGTTTTTTCAAATTGAAATGTGATTTTAGAAGAGCATTGGAGCTCTGAGAGAGCTCCCTGCCTTCATCTGTGCTCTGAAATCTTTGACAACTTATTACATAACAAGCCTGACATGGTTTTATATTTCAACTCATCTAAAAGCCAACACATGCAACAATGCAGTTTCACCCCAGTACTGTAATAAGTGTTAATCCAGATTATATACTCAAGTGAAGGAGTTTAAACTCACAAACTGGTGAAAGAGATCCGAGTGCTACTGACTGAACCAAACTGCAGATGTAAGATCAACTGGGTACTGTGCACCTCTGCACCATTATTCATATCTGGATGAAAACTTGGGAGATTTGAGTTTCTCAAACGTTCATTACAACTGATGCTAGAATTAACACCCTTGTTCTTCCTTCAGCAAAATACCTAGTTCTCTGCATAACATCTCCTGTTATTAAGGGAACCAGATCCAAGTCTAGGACTAGGGAATGCAGTCTAAAAATTAGAGTTAGACCTGGAGATGGTAAAGACTACAGATACTGGAAGCTGGAGTCAATAAATGTGGAGTTGGTAAAGCACATCCGAGGAGCAGGGAAATGAACGTTTCGGGCCGATGAAGGGTTTTTGCCCGAAACATTCATTCCCCTGCTCCTCGGATGTGCTTTTCCAACTCCACATTTATTGACTCTAGCTCCCAGTATCTGTAGTTTTACCGTCTCCAGGTCTAACTCTAATTTTTAGACTACATTCTTTTGTGTTGGGAACTTATGTAAGTAGCTAACTCAGTACAACTGAGCACTCGAGTGCTTCTTATAAAGTGCAACAGTAAAGTCGTAAGATCCCTAAACAAGTTAAATTTAAAACAATCTGTGGGAGCCTGGCATCTCAAGGAATTCAGCAGAGGAAGGACAAAGGGGTTTGGTTGATTTTTGCCTAAATAAAACTGTTAATTGGTGAGTATGTCTAGTCTTCAAAGCAAAAGTAAAGTTTCTAATTTATATTTAGGTCTCTTTCTTGTTTTTTTTTAAAAATAGCTTATTAGGTAGGAGATTAATACTAGTGCATTAAAAAGGGAAAATACAATAAAATGTAAACAGCAAGAATATAGGAGTAATTTTAGTTAATAACTTCACTAAATAGGATACAGGTGGCAGGTTGGATGACATGGGATCTGCAGGACACCAGGATCAACATCGAACACATCAGTAGCAAGTGTTTGCATGTTGAGCAACTTCAAATCCAAGTTGATGCTCTAAAGTTTGAGCTGTAGACATTGAACCACATCAGGCAGTCTATTAGGTCATTTGAACTTGGTCTGTGATCAAGGACAGAAGCGGGTGATTGTAGGTGTGACACATATGGGACCCAAAGGGGCAGCTCTTGTGAAGCCTTTCGCCCTGCAATTGTTCCACAGTAATGACCTGTATGGATAAGAGTTGGGACAATAAGGAGGATGGGGTACCTGACTACAAGATCGTGGTACAGATGGCCATTCAAGTGGGATGAGGAAATAGGAATGTAGTAGTGGTACGTGACAGTATAATGAGGAGGATAGATTTGTTCTTTCAGCCAATGAGGACAAGTCCCAAAGGCTGCATTGCCTGCCCAGTGCCAGAGTTAAAGACATCTCCTTGGGGCTTGAGAGGAACTTGGAGCAGAAGGAGAAGGATCAAGTTGTTGTCACCTACATTGTCACTAATAATATTGATGGGGCTGGGGAGGAGTTTCTGCTGCGAGATTTTCAATAGTTAGGAGCTAAACCTTCAAGGTGATAACCTCAGGATTACCGACTCATGGGAAAATTGGCAATAGCGTATATAAAGCAAAGTATTTAAACGCGTGTGGGAGGAATGACGTTCAGTTCAAGAGCATGGGCACCACTAAAGGAGCTGTTACCATTGGATAGGCTTCACTTGGACCAGTGTCCTGGCGACCCGCATAAGGGCTGTAGAGAGGGCTTGAAACAAATTGGGGAGGGGGCTGCTTAGGAGTGGAGAAACAGGCTTACAAAGCAAAAGGAGATGGCAGCATTGCAGGGCAGCTGTTTTAACAATGATATCCAGAGTGGGACAAGAAAGGACAGAATATACAAGCATAAAACAGTAAACATGGACAATGGAAGAATAAAACGAAAATATACGGTTCTTTACTTGAATGCACATAGTATTCAAAACAAACGAACTAACAGTACAAATACAGGTTAATACACATGATTTTATAGCCATTGCAGAGACATGGTTTTAAGGAGATCAAAATTGGAAAGTAAATATTCCAGGGTATGTGACCTTTTGAAAGGATAGGTAGGAAGGGAAGGGAGGCAGCGTGGCCTTGTTCACATGAGATGGAATTATCTTGGATCAGATGATGTAGAATGCATGTGGATGGAGGACAAAAAAAACTTTAAGACATTGATGGGAATAATCTATCGGCCCCCTGAGCAGAAGCTGTTCTGAAGGACAAAGAATAAATCAAGATCTAATGAGGGCATGTATAAAAGTGGTCTATTAAGCTTGGAAGACATTAATCTTCATGTAGATTGGGAAAATCAAATTGGCAAAAGGTAGCTGTAGTGAAGAATTCATAGACTGTATTTGGGATGGTTTTCTAGAACAATTTGCTATCGATCCAACCAGGGATCAGGGTATTTGGATCTGGTAATGTGTCATGAGGCAGTTTTAATAAATTATCTCAGAATAAAAGATCCCCCAGGGAACAGTGATCATAACATGGTAGAATTTAGCATTCACTTTGAGAGTTAGAAACCTGGGTTGGTGAAATAACTCCAAGTCACCTTTTATTCACATGTGCACAGTACATAGACTCTGATTAGATTGCTCAGAGAAAATCCCTAGAATGAGGAGACTCTCTGAATCTCCTGTTCAGCCAGGACTCTCTGATTAGCCCACGTTAACAACCCCAGTCAAGGATCTCATTTATAATATGTAATAGCAGAGCATTTAGAAACCCACATGTAATCAAGCACAGACAACATGGTTTCATGAAGGGAAATCTTCCATTACAGATTTATTTGTTCTTTGAGGTGGTAAACAAACACATTAAGGAGAACCAGTGGATGTAATATATTTGGATTTCCAAAAGACATTGAATACAGTTCAGCATGTAAGGCTATTTAATAAGATAAAAGCCCATGTTGTTGAGGTAGTATATTAGCATGAGTAGAGGATTCGCTAGTTAATATAAATCAGAGAGTTGGGATGAAGGAGGCATTTTCAGGTTGACAACCTGTAACTAGCAGAGTGCCACAGGGATCATTTCTCGGGCTATAGTTATTTATTATATAATGACTTGGATGATGAAAGTGAATGCACTATCACCAAGTTTGCAGGTGACACAAAACACATAAGTAGGCAAGTAATGGGGATGACACAAGAAGTCTACGGAGGAATACAGATGGGTTAAGTGTGTAGTAAAAAACACATCTAATGTGGAAAAATTAGGTTATGCACTTTGGCAGGAAGAATAAAGGAATTGAATATTATTTAAATGGAGATAGACTGTAGATACTGCAACACAAATGGATTCAGGAGTCCATCTTTTTGTGCCTAAATCACAAAAATCTAGCATACAAGTACAGCGGGTAATCATATCAACATTCAAGTTTTTCTGGGACCCAGTTAATTGAGTATTTTTAGAACATAAGAACTAGGAGCAGGGGTAGGCCGTCTGGCCCTTCGAGCCTGCTCCGCCATTCAATAAGATCATGGCTGATCCTTTCGTGGACTCAGATCCACTTACCCGCATTCTCACCGTATCCCTTAATTCCTTTATTGTTCAAAAAAAACTACCTTTTTTTTAAAAATCATTTACTGAAGTAGCATTAACTACTGGCAATAAATTTTAAACTGTTCAGTTCTCCTGCACCTTTCAAACTGCTCCTTCTCCTCTCCACCTCTAAACCTCTTTCTTCTCACTCCCCTGCAACATCTTCCTTCCTCATCCTCTGCCTCCTCCTTCACTAATCCCTGCAGCCTCCTCTTCCCCTTCCACTAACCCTCTCTTCCGTTCCACCAACCACATCCCACCCACAGACAACAGCAATCCCTATACCCAGCTGACAGCAATCCTGAGGTTTGGACCCAGGTGAGGAATAGCCTGTGATTGTAGAAACATGATAGAGACAGAATTTAATCTGAAGAGCTGATTTGCAGATTCTCTCTCTCTCAGGTACACTCAAACAGGAGACAAGAGTAGGCCACATGGCCCTTCAAGTCTGCTCTGCCATTCAACATAACCATGGTTGATCTGATTTCAACCTCAACTCTACACTCCTGCATATCCCTGATAATCTTTCATCTCCTTTGTAATCGAGAATCTGTCTACCTCTGCCTTAAGAACAGTTTAAAATTCTGCATCCATGGTCATTTGAGGAAGTGAATTCCAAAGACACTCAACCCTCCAACCGAAAAACATTTCCTCATCTCTATCCACTAGGACGACCTTGCTCCGATTAGTTGTCTCTAGTTGTCCTCCACCCTACCATCCAGCTATTTTAATTGGAGAGCTACCACTATGATGTGAGCCGTCTCATTTTCACGACTTCTCTCACTCCCTTCAATCTAAATCCAACTAAATTTACACTACTCTACTTTCTCAACTCTAATCTATGAAACTCCTTTTGATGTTTCTGTTCCCCTCCAGCAAGGCTTTTCCAAATTTTGCTTTCTCCTTCAACACCAGGCACAACCAAGCCATCCATCCTCTAACTTATCAAACCTAATTCTTTTTCTTATATCCAGCAATGCTCTTACACACAACTGAATTATTTTTTCCCGTCACCAAATCACACCTGGTATTTTTTAATCTTCGCCAGTAAATCACCTATGTTTTACAATTGTTTAATTTGCATGTGAGGCCTTAAGGGCAATGTACACTATCAAAGGTGAGGGAGAGATAGAGAAGAGGGCAAGGGGGATAAATCAAAATGGAGTTGGAAGGGGAGGTAAAGCTATCTACTCTCTGCAGTGCCCACCTATCTCTAAAGGCATCGAGGGCATTGGTGGACACCACCTGCTCCCTTTCTAAGGGCACCTGGACATGAATGTAGCTGTGGACCAAACCTGTTCTTATCCTGAATTGTTAATTCCACACACCCCAGACAAAAGGGGTTGTGCAACACATGGATCCTAGCTATAAGTTATATTCAGTATCCTCCCCTGGCCCTGCTCTCTCTTCCCATGGATGACAATGTTCTCATTCTAACCTGGAATAATTTTACCTATTCCTCACCTCTGATGGTGTCCAAGCCTCTCCCCTTTCCTTTTGAGTATTTTTCCCCTCAACGTCAGTTGACAATAAACTTTCCACAGAAATATATTAGAAACTGACTGACTCCCGTAATTATCTTTTGGAGTGTTTTTCTTTTGTCCCTGAACGCGTCCCGAAACGCCTTTAAATAAGCTTGCGAGGCTTCCCCCGATGTGTCGCTCCAGTGAGTGGAGAGAGATCTCCATTTCTGCCACTGAGGAGATGGAAACGCAGTTCAAGCCGGGTCACATGGAGCAGGTATGGGGCCGTCCCACTGGGGACAGCCCCCGGTCTGGATAGAGAAGCCTTCTCCTCCCTGACTCCTGTTCTCCAAACACTTACCTCTCACTTGTCTGGTTCGGTGGCGCCACACGAACCAATTTGTGCTAATCGGGAGATGTTTTTACAAACGTCTGGAGCAGGGTGGGGAACCTGAACCCAGTCATCCCGGTCCAGAAGTACCGACACTACCACTGCGCCATAACAGCGCCCACGAAGCAGGAACAGACCTCTCAGCAAATCACAGCTTGCTGATGACGGCTGTGAACGCAGCCAATGGCGAACCAAATACCTCTTTTCCTTAAAAAAAACAAAGGAGAAAACGAAAGTAGGCTTCCTCTTGGCCGCTGCTGGAGATTCGGAGATGAGAACCTTCCTCCTTCCATAGGGATTCTGTAGCCCTTTGCTGAGACAAATACCCATCTCCTAATGTAATTCAACTTGGTACTAAGACTTGCATTTCTGTGGTGCCTTTTGTAAACTCAGGGTTTGGCGAAGTTCCAGATTCTAGGTGTATGAAACGTCACCGGTAGTCTGTGCCCAAGCAAGATCCCATCTACGATGCTGAGCTAATTATTTCAATTAAGGGAAAAATATTTGACCGGGAGACCCGGCACAACCTCAACTGCTCCTTGACCAAGGTGATGTTCCCCCTTGTTCCTTCATGAAATTGTAGAGTCCGAAGAACTGTACGCCTGAGGGCGTCCACTTTCCGGAGAGAACGAGGAAAAGTGGGAACCTAAAGAGACAACGCGAACAAATTCATCCAAGCTATGGAGGGTGGAAACTGAGAGGCAGGGAAAGGGAATTCTCCCACCAACCTCTCACACTCCAATGCTGTCTTCTGCCACTCTTGTCGCTACACCGGGAGCAAGAAAATGCAGTACAAAATGTTTGGTCAGGGCATGAACGACAAGACATTGTGACCTGGAGAGGGGAGCATGAACTCTCGTACGCTGCCAGACATTGAGTAACCAACAATGACAGAAGCCAAAGACTGTGTCCCCAGCTGCCCTCTTTATTGTTCATTAACTGTGGTGTTAAGTGACAAAAGGTGCTTTCATGTCCAGCAGTTAGGTGCACAAGTCTGGAACTTTCACAGATATCAGCACTCTCATATAAAGAAAATATTTTAGAAATGTATTCTCAAGTTATGAGCATTGCTGCCAAGGCTGCATTTATTTATGATTCTTGGCTTTTCAGAGGGTGATGGTAAGCCTTCATCTTGAGGTGCTGCAGTCTTAATGATGAGCTGTTGGGAATTTCAGTGATTTTGACCCATGAAGGAGTAGCAGTAGATATCTGTTGGAATAAAGTATGACTTGAAGGTGGTGCCTGTTGCCCTGCTTGGCATTGTACATTTGAAAGGAGCTGTTGAAGCCTTGCCAGTCCCTGAAGTGTGTTTTGAATGGAATATAAACTCCTGTGTCAGTGTGCTGAGGGAATGGATGTTTAATCTAATAAACTGTGTGTTAACGAAGCACATTGCTCTATTCTGGTTAGTGTCAAGCTTCTTGAGCCTAGGCCAGTGAACAAAACAGTATCCATCACACATCAGATATTTGTCAGTTACAGAACTAGGGGGCAGGAAATCAGTGCAGAATACCCAGCCTCTGACAACCTTTTGTCTTCATGGAACTTATGTGACTGTGAGCTTTTGGTCAATAGTGACCCCAGGATGTTCATTGAAAGATAGTCAGTAATGAGTATCAAGAGGAGGTGGCAAGATTTGTTCTTTTCAAAGAATGTTATTGCACGACATTTGTGAAGGATGTTTTTTGCCATTTTCAATGAAGGGTGGATAGTTTCAAAATCCCATAGTTTTGTGGTTTTAAAGAGCTTCTGTGAAATTAGCATCAAATCACAAAACTGGAGCTGGATTGCAGTGGGATCCATGGGTCATCTGCCTAATTTGACTGGAACAACAGTATCATGTTAACAGAGGTGAATGGCAGACAAGGTTGCAAGCTTCTGTTTGAGCATTAAGCCCTGGAAATATTGTTAAGTCTCAACAAAAAAAAAGAGGAACAGGAGAAAAATCGTTTGACAAAGAGGAAGTCTGACCTTAATAAAGAGACAAAAGTAAAATCTTACATTCTGCATCCAATTAAATGTGACTGGAAACTGAGGAGAAAATCAAATCTACCTCCAAATGCCTGTCTCTTAAGTTTTACTGCTGTTGTGTTTGCTTCAGCTGATTCCAACTACTTTAATGTCATTTGTGAGTTATTTCCTATTTTCTTGCTTTATACCTCAGACTCTTGTGAAGTTACAATGTATCCCTGGCCAAGAGGGCAGTCAAGCAGGTCAGTATTGCTTCAATTCCCTTTCAGTAATTCTGCCTTGCCCAGGTCTGGAACAGCTCAGCTTATACCAGCCACTTTCCACAGTGCACTGAGGGGCACAAACCTGTTTCCATCATTGGGCAACATAGAGCTCAAGGCTTTTCACATGATTACACAAATACAACTGTCATTTATTGAGAGATAGTAGGAACTGCCGATGCTGGAGTCTGAGATAACAAGGTGTAGAGCTGGATGAACACAGCAGGCCAGGCAGCATCAGAGGAGTAGGAAAGCTGACATTTCGGGTTTGGACCCTTCTTCAGAAATGGGGGAGGGGAAGGGGGTTCTGAAATAAATAGAGAGAGAGGGAGGCAATGATAGAAGGTGGATAGAGGAGCAGATAGGTGGAGAGAAGACGGACAGGTCGAGGAGGCGGGGATGAAGCCAGTAAAGGTGTGTAGGTAGGAGTTGGGATGGGGGTTGGTCAGAGAGGAGGGAGGAATGGGTAGGTGGGAGGGAAGACGGACAGGTCAAGGTGGCAGGGATGAGGCTAGTAGGTAGGAAGTTGGGGGTGGGTGTTGGTCAGTGAGATGGGAGGTGTCATTTACTGATGGAAGAAGGGACAAGTGACTGTCTTGTGGAGTCTTAAAATACAAGTTGCCAGGTTAGTAAAGAGGCTGTACAAAAATGTCAGCCTTAGCTAAATGGTAGCACACTCACCTCCAAATCAGAAGATTATGTATTCAAGTCCCATTCAAGAGACTTGAGTACATAACCCAAGCAGCCCTTCCAATACAGTACTCCAACATTGTTGAAGGTACCATCTTTCAAATTAAATGTTAAATTAGGGCCCTGTTGGTCTCCCTGGGTGGATGTTAGAAAATCCTTGGTACTGATTGAAGAGAAGCCACTAGTGGGAGTGCTGTAGTGCCTTAACCAATATTTATCCTGCTATCTTTAACACTACCTCAGATCATCTGGTCATAGGGGCTTGTACGAGTTTGTTGCATAAATTGATTGTTGTGTTTTCAAAATTGCAACAGTGCTAATACTTTAAAATTCCTTCATTGCCTAAAGATCCTGTCTGGGGTTTGCACTTTCTAAGGTGGTGAGTATCTTAGGTGCCTCTGTAAGTTCCCTTTCTTTCATAAAAGAGCATTTCTCTTTTGCTTGTCCTTGTTGTTTTGACCTTTAATGTAAGGTGTTTAAACCCACAACACATTCATATGGTCACCTTAGAGGGTGGCATTTTTTCAGCACTAGCTTGATGGCTTGGGGAGCAGGGGTAGGCTAGAAAATTAGCTTTCTCTGAGTGGCCCAGCAACAGATCAACTGCCCACTCAATGGAAACAGGAAATGAATTTAAGTTATAATATCCTTATGAGGGGCAATTTTCTGCTTCTGGAGCAACATGCCCTCCCCCACCAACATAGGGAGACTGACAAAGTACTGGAAGCAGCCTCCCTGCAGTGATCTAGGGAGCTCCATCCTTAAAGACTTGTAGGGTAGGGCCCATGACACTAACTTTCCCTCCAGTTAGAAGGGCTGCCTCTTTGGCCTGGCCAACTACCTAGTAATTTTATAACTCCAAGTGAGCCCTCCTGTTATTTGTCCTGCCCACCACACTCAGTTAGGCTTTCAAGGTTCCAGATTTGCTGACCCCCTGATTGGTGAGTCAGACTACCATCCTTTATCAGACAGTTTGGAGATCTCCAGTAATATCCAACAAGGCCCCTTTTCCAGTGGGTACAGAGTCAGAATTCCCATTAGTCCCCCCAGAGACCCAAAGTCCTGAGGGAAAATTAAGTCCATAGTGTCAATATGCTATGCTTCTGACCTGCTATTTAAATATTTGAATAATCTGATGTGACATTATTATTTGGAATGATGACAATTTGTTGGATTGAAACTCTTCTAGGTCTATAAGAAGATTTTGCCCCTTTGATACACCATACAATTCACATTAACAGTTTACCATATTGAAATTATTCAGAAAATGTTTATTTCTACATATTTTCTAATACACCTTGTTAATAGGTTACACAAATGTTGTATATTCTTTTTATTATCATCCGAAAGCGATCTTCATAAATTAGTACTGAATGATTTGATCAGAGGTGAATTGGAAAGGATTGGCAGGTAACTAACCTGGCACTCTACATTTTGTCAATATTTAGTGGAAGGAAAACAAATCAACTTTCACTGGAACTTTCTGTTCTCACTTGTTCATTCTCAGAACCTCAAAAGTACGGAACTTTTTTCGTCCTTCAGTTTCACTTCCTTGTCCAATTGTCACAACTTAAACTGCAACCATGAAATTACTGAATGATCATTTGTAATCTTCTTTTCTCTGCTACTTTTTCCAATCTTGCTAGTGTGCAGCAGTATAGAGTTTCATCTAGCTTTCCCAATGAAAGAATAGGTACCTCTCGGAACCATTTCTACTCTGAAATTAGGGAGAAAACCTGATCACAGTAACTCTCCTGTGCCCTTTTTCGTTCAGCTTTTCCCATGCTACATGTGGTTTCCACAACACTGGTTGATCACCTTTCTCCTTTTTTTTTGCTTATTTGTTCATGGGATGTAGAAGCTTTCTTCTCCAGACAGCATTGGAGGCAGAGTCTTGAATACTTTTAAAGCAGAGGAAGAATTTTGCCTAATAAGGGAATCAAAGGTTATTTGGGTAGGTAGGAATGTGGAGTTGAGGCCACAATCAGAACAACTATGGTATTACTGAATGGCAGAGTAGGCTTCAGGGGCCGAATAGCCTACTCTTGCTCCTAACATGTCTGTTTGTAATACTAACTTCATGTACAAACCATCTGGAGAGAATATGAAAGAAAAATATTTCTGAAGAAGGGTCCCCAACTCAAAACGTCAACTTTCCTGCTCCTCTGATGCTGTCTGGCCTGCTGTGTTCCTCCAGCTCCACACTGTGTTATCTCTATTTTGGAAATGCATGGCAGCTGGTTCAGCATCTTAAAAAAAAGACAGGTTAACATTTCTGATGTGACCCTTCATCACAGCTGGATGATTCCTTTACTAGTGTTAGAATTTATTTCCTTCTTTTGATTTCTTTGCCCCTCCCCAGTGGTATTTTCTCAGGGCACAGCACCACTCACCAGCAACATTCAATCTTAAGTACTCATTAGAAGGTGACAGATTGGACAGTGATTGACAAGATAATATGATACAGTGGGTTGTCTACCACAATTACTACAGTCAGGAGAAATGTCACAAAATCACAATGGGTCTTGAGCTACTTGACAAGGGAACAGACCACAGCTAAGCCTGATCCTACACTTAGCTGATGTTGACATAGGAGTCCCTGAGTGGTGATCAGGAATAAAATCCCAGGCTGATTTTTTTTTCTCTTCCCTCTCTCAGCAGGAATGGGAAGGGCTGGCATCGGGATTGTAAAATCCATCCAATTACATAGGCCTTGCATGAATCATTCAACCTGATCATCTTGTGAATTGTTTACATATATTACATTTTGCAAATATATCTTTTGCTAATGTTGCATGTGGATTTGACATCGGATTAAGTCAGCTGTATCATGATCCAATGAAACGTAGAGGCCCAAATTCAATTTGAAGAGAAACCCCTGCAAGGCCAACATCAATCTTGACCATACTAGTTCCACATTTATCACCACAGGCATCAGCAAATGCAGAGACTGACAAGTAGCAGTGAAGCATTATGCTTAAAAGATTTGCCTCTCTCACAAGCATTTCCTGTGTGTAATTTTGGATTTCCAGAACAGTCAGCTTTTTGTTACAGTGCACAGAATTTGGAGATTTTTAAAGCTTGCAACTTGTTGACTACTCAACAGCCTTGTTGGCTGGTGCCCTAAGTTCTCATTCTCTGCTTGTATTCAACAGAGATCTCATCACATAGGAAATAAATGGCTTTACAGCTAAGACTTGATCCAAATTTCTTCAACTGTCATTGAGTCAAGATCCTGGAATTCCCTTCCTGACAGCATTTGGGTGTAACCACAGCAGATGGAATGCAGTAGTTTAAGAGGGCAGTTCACCAATACCTTCTCAAGGGCAGTTAGGGAAAAGCAACAAAGGCCAGAGATGTCCACATCCCATGAAAGAGTAAAACTAAAATGATCTCCTAGACTTACTTCCATAAGACAGTAGCAGCAAAAGTAGATTACTGAGCTCAGTTATTGCTTGAGAGAAACAGAGGAATTTTCCAGGGATTTTTTTTTTCTGAGTTTTCTCTTTTTGTATCTTCTAGGAGATTGGACAGCTGAGAAGAGGGAAGTGGGGTGAGGCAGCGTTCGGATGGTGGTTAGGAAGTATGTAGCCACGTGAATGTGAGACAGGCTTGATGGTCTTTTTTTGCCCGTCATTTTTGTACCATCCACATCCATTATATAAAATTACACAGCTGAAAACTTATATAAAACATTTATTTTAAAAAAGATAGACATTTTTATTTGGATTTAGTAATGCTTATACCTATCTAACATATAGAATTAACTGGTCCTGGGTTCCCATATGAATTAAATACAATCTGATTATTTCAAACCATACAACTGCTAGTTCTAAAGAGAAATGTGTACTGGAATTGTTCCGATCTTAATGGGGGCTGAGGCCGACACTGAGACGTGATATGCTGGGATGGGAATTGTCACCTGCAGCTGATATGAGATTGAAATAATCTTACATCTTGACATATCGCTGATAAACATTGGTTTCGGCAGCTGTAAGGATCCGAGGATTTTTGTGACCCGTCTTGGTGGAGCCTCGATCACTGCCTCCATCTTCTTAAGTTCGCTCTTCTCAATGAACTCGCGGTAATGGTCGCACAGTGCTTCCTGAACGAATGCCTTGTACTTGATCTCAGCTCCAATGGAGTAACAGATTATCCGGAGAAATCTCATTGTTCGGTTGTCGATTTCAGACGTGATGATGATGTCTTCACCAGGGACGAACCCACTCTTGTCCACTGTTACATTCATAGAAATCCCTGGCATCTTCCAGCACCAGTATGAAATTTCTTTCTCAGCTGTCAACTTCAGAGGGAGCTGGAGACAGAGGGAATAAATGGCATCACTGACACTGTTGAAAAATAGAACGGTACAGCTTTAAATATGAAATGAAAATGCTGGAGGATCATAGCAGGTCAGTTAGTATCTGTTAAAAGGATATGACAGTTTAGATAAGGTTAGTGAAGACCGATTGATAATATTCACGTGGAGCACAAAAACCAGCTTGATCAGTTGAGCTGAATTGCCAGTTGTTGTGGTGTTGGTCTTTATTGTGTAAGATTAAAGTGTTTGAGGTGTACATTTCTACATCAGGTTGTCTTTTCTCTTTAGTGGTATTGAATGGTCAATCTTAGTTCGATTCAAAGTACATTCTAAAGATTTGAGCACAAAATATAAAGCTAGATTTTACACTCCACTTGCAATGTGTTTGAAGGGAAAGGGAAGGAATCTTAGAAAAAGCAGTAAGTGGCATGCCCAGACGCAAACCCCTACATTCAACAGTGGACGTATCAAATGGCCAACCCACTCTTCAGTCTCTTGAGGCACTTAAGTGGTCTATTAATGGCCACACCTTGTCTTCGTGGCTATTTGGCCATAGAGAGAGTGAGTATCGTCCCAAGTGGGGATTCCAACAGATGTAGTTGAGTGGCTCAGTGGTTAACACTGCTGCCTCACAGTGCCAGGGGCCCGGGTTTGATTCCAACCTTGGGCAACTTACTGTGTGGAGTTTGCACATTCTCCCCATGTCTGTGTGGGTTTCCTCCCGGTGCTCTGGTTTCCTCCCACTGTCCAAAGTTGTGCAGGCTAGGTGGATTGGCCATGCTAAATTGGCCATTGTATTCAGGGATGTGTAGATTAAGGGGTATGGGTCAGGGTGGGATGCTCTGAGAGTCGGTGTGGACTTGTTGGGCTGAAGAACCTGTTTCCGCACTGTAGGGATTCTAAGATATTCAAAGATGGTGATTGGAATCTCCTTTGGAGGTGATCAGCTGTGCTCATTGGATGCACGACCCTCTCATCCCCTTTAAACCAACCACATCATTTTCCACATCTGGTACCACACACCCTTCTTACCATTACTGGTGCCTGCCAGCCAGGGCTGCCTTCAACCTGGCTTCCATAACCTCCTCTTCTTTGTGGCACTGTTTGCTGTCCCAGCAATGGCCACTACTTGAACCTGGTGCCACTGGAACGATTTACTGACGGATTTCTCAGGTATATATCTGTCCAGATCGGGGTGGAGTTTTCACACTGAACAAGTTAATGATCTACTGAGTGTAAAATGACTGCAGGGTTGATGTTGATTTTTTTTAAGTCACGAAGCGGGCACCAGGGAACATGGTACCCCATAAATACCAGCCAATAGATTACTCTTTGGTTGTACAGACCAACTGTAAACCAAACCATTACAATTATAACCCAGTTGAAGATTGAAAACAAAACTGGGAGTCATAGAATAATTATGGTACAGAAGGAGGCCATTCATTTCATTGTGCTTATACTGGCCCTCTCAAGGAATAATTCAGCTCGTGCCACTCCCCAGCCTTTCCCCTGTAGCACTGTACATTTTTCCTTTTCAGGTAATGATCCAATTTCCTTCTAAAAACCTTGATTTCACCTGTTTGCTGCACACTTTCAAGCAGTGCATTCCAGATCCTAACCATTCCCTGTGTATAAAAAGGTTTTTCACATGTTGCCTTTGCTTCTTTTGCCAATCAGCTTAAATCTGTGCCCTCTGGTTGATCCTTCCATCAATGCAAAAAGTATTTCCTGATCAACTCTATATAAACACTTAATGAGTTTGAATTCTTCCATCAGATCTCCTCTTAACCTTCTCTAAAGAGAACTTAAGCCCAGTTTCTCTTTGCAATGGACAGCAGTTCCAGTCTCTACAATCTGTACACATATCTGAAGTTCCTCAACCCTGGAACCATTCTCTTGAATCTTTTCTTACACCCTCTCATGCCTGCATAGCTTTCCTGAAGTGTAATACCTGGAACTGGGCTCAATACTCAGGTGAGGTTCATCTAGTTATCAGTGTTTAATGTAACTTCCTTGCTTTTGTGCTCTGTGTCCCTATTTATCAAACCCATGTATCCCAAATGCTTAATTAACTGTTTTTTCTCAACCTGTCCTTCCAGCTTCAGTGGTTTGTATATACACATCCAGGTCCCTCAGCTCCTGAACAACCACCACCACCCCACACCACTTAGAATTGTACCCTTTCTTTTATACTACCTTCCTGCTTTCAAGTAGATCATTGTACAGTTCTCTGCGTTAAGGTTTATCTACCACCAGGCTATCCATTCCACCAGTTTACCTAAAGTTTACCTCTAACTTTTGAAGTGCTACATTATCCTCCTCCTAAATGACAATATTTACAAGTATTGTATCATCGCAAAATTTTGACATTGTTCCCTCTACATCAAGGTCTAGGTCATTAATGTAGGTCAGGAAAAGCAGAGATCCTAATACTTATCCCTGGAGAGCTCCAATATAAACCTTGCTCTAATCGAAAAAGCAACTGTTTACTACGACTCTCTGCATCCTGTTGCTCAGGCAATTTCATATCGTTTTGATACTTTTTTTTATTTCATGAGCTCTAACTTTGCCGACAATTCAGTTGTGCTGCTCTTTATGAAATGCCATTTGGAAATCTGTCTATGCCACATATTATCCTCATTAACCCTTTCTGTTCACTGGTCAAAAAACTCAAGCACACCAGTTAAATATAATTTGGCCTTGAGAAGTCAAGGAGACAGGAGTGTTTTGTTAGCTCTGCTACTGCAGGTTAATCCTTTATTACACTGTTAGCTCATTCTGGAATCCCTCATAACTAGGAGGTACCTTATTACTGGGATCAAGATTAAGGTTGAATGTTTCCTGTATTTTCAAAATCTTCTCCACCTGTGCTAGAGTTCCCCCAATGGCTGTGCAGAACGCCCGCACGTAATAACGGATTTTCCCATGACTACCACTAAAGCTAGATGGGAGAGTATCTTCTAGTTTGTAGCTGAACTGGAAGACATGGGGGCCAGCTTCCAGGGTTTGTTCCAATCCTTCAGCATCGTGATCTGTGGAGGAAAAGGTAGATATTGTGATTAGGCAGTGCACTTTAGCTAAAAGCTAGCTCTAGGAGGTAAGAGTTATATTTATGCAGCACCTTTTATGATCTCAGAACATCCCAAAGTGCTTTACAGCAAATGAAGCACTTTTAAATTCAGCCACTTCAGTACTGTAGGAAATGTGGCAGTCACTTATTGGATAGCAAATTCTCATGGTTATATCATAAATGACCAGATAATCTGTTGGTGATGTTGGTTGAGGAATAAATTGATAAATGTTGGTCAGGACATTAGAGAAATAACCCTGCTCTTTTTGAATTAATGCCTTTGGATCTTTTATGTTAATCTGAGAGATGTAGGGGTGGTATTTTCATCGCAAAGGCAGGTAGCTTGGGTTGGGAAATTTCTCAACCTGTCACACACCTCTATTTAAAGGGCTTTCGTTAGACCCAATTGCACTCCTGGGAAAGAGGGTTTGGGGGAGGTGGCGTGCTCAGTCTGTACAGAGTTGCACTTATTGACCCGAAAGAAGATAGTAGACAGTATTCCTAATCTACCTGACAGTGAAAAAAATCTCCCATTCGTGAAACACAAAATTCAATCAAATCTTTTAAATATCAAGTTAATCTGTTCTATCAAGAACAGCTAATCCTTTAATATAAAACAAAGAACTGTGGATGCTAGAGATCTGAAACAAAAACAAATTGCTGGTGAAACTCAGCAGGTCTGGCAGGATCTGTGGGGAGAAAGCAGAGTTAATGTTCTGTGTCTGATGACTCTTCATCAGAACTTAGTCTTTTAATAGCCTCTTTAAACTGTCAAACCGTTATTTTAATATCTCTTGCTTAGATAATTGTATCTTTTGAAACTCTGCTAATCATTCCAAGATGACATAATAATTATTCTTGGGAAATGTCAACAAAGAACTCTGTTGAAACTGTGGAACGGGCAGTCACATTTTATTTTCTAACCTATTCTAGATGGCCAGTTAACCAAAGCATTCCAGTAGATCATTTCTTTAATTCTTACTGATAGCTTAGCCTGTTTTGTATTCCAGGTTTAAAGAGCTGGGCGTACGGATCATGTCACTTAAACAGATCTGATCCACACTTGAAGAGTTTGCATCTACTCCATGACTTGTGACTCCCACACAGTGGATGAACAACAAAACTCAGCACTAAGTTCAAATAGGCCTGCCTAGTTCGGCTTCCCTCCTGAGAATCATACCCTGCACCCTCCCCACTCAACAAGAATTAGATGTTCAATCTAGAGGGCAGGACTTCTACTTTCACCTCCTGCCCACCATTGATCAAGGCCTATGGAGTCTTCCTGACTTTAGGAAAATCTGTCCTGCAGCCTCAATTTAACATGTTATCCAAAATGCCACATCCCCTACATTGCAGCATTCCCTGAGTGCTGCACTAGATTTCATGCTCAATAGTTTAAACCTGAGTTAAGAGTGTTACCACTAAGTCACAGCTGTCAGTGTACTGAAGTCTCATCAATATCTCATGTGTGAGTTTTAAACAGTAGAGACTTTGTAATGTAATCAGCACAGTATCAGAAGTTGATATTGTTATTTTAATTGAAAAATCAAGGTAAAGGGTCAAAGCCCATAAAGAAGGACTGACAATGACTGAATTATATAAGTTGAAAGCACGGAGACCAAGGGAGGAGGTCAGCCAAGTTGAAAAAGAATAGAAGGGAGGGAGTAGTTATCTAATTCAAACACTAGAGCGCTCTTGGAGTTTAGACTGACATCACAGTATTTAAGCTGGTGGAATTCTGAGGACGGGTAAATCGGGTGAGTAAACAACAAAGTAATTTCTTCCTTTCAGAAATTCAGAAAGTCTGGACGTAAGCTGCTGCATGATTTCAGGGATGGTGCAGCTAAGTACAGTGAGAACATGTGTCAGGGAGGGAGGTTAGAAGAATCAACATAAAGGAGGGTGCTGAGAGGATTTTCTTAATGTTATTCTTTTGCACCTCATTAATATATTTATATTGAATTTTATAAATTAAGGCAGACCACGTCAGATCTGTGAAATGCATGTCCTGTTCCAGGATACTTCTTGTCACTTTCGGCTGGCATCACAGCAGGACCAGTCTGTGAACTATGTGGTAAACATGTTTCTGGATGTAGTCACATTGCAACTTAAGAGAGTGCAAGACAGAAGAACAGGGAAGGACTGGAACAGGCCCCTGGTGCAAGTGGGAAGTGGCTTCTGGGGAGTGCAGCTTCAGCAATGGATGGATCAGCTATAGATTGGGACAGCAATTTTGACGAGAGATTTTGTGGTTAGAGAAACAGACGTGTCTGTCTCTAGCAGCAGACATTAATGCATGTTGATACACTGCCTCACTGCTGTTATAGTCAAAGATGGAACCGAGGGCTGCAAATCATTCTGATGTGAAGGGTGAACGGTTTGAAGCCATGGTCCATATTGATACCAACAATATCCATAAAAAGAGAAAAAGGTCTTGCCAGCTAATTTTAGGGAGCTGGGAAGGAGACAAGCAAGCAGGACCATAGAGATAGCATTCTGAATTACTCCCAGTGCCACATGCTAGTAAGTACAAATGTGGGAGGATGGAGCAGATAAATGCAAGGTAAAGCTGTCACAGTTCTGCCAGACCATTGGGCTGCTCTCTCATTACAGAGAGACAACTGATGGTTGTTTAACCTGAGGGTCACTACCGCTCAGGCAAGAGGAGAGGTTGAGGAGGAGAGTTCTTCTTGGTGACCTTAGCTGGTGTGAGAATTAAACCCACACGTTGGTATTGCAAACCAGCTGGCCAGCCAACTGAGAGAAATGCACGGATGGAGAGATTGTGCAGGAGAAAGGGCTTTAGATTCCTGGGATATGTATAGGATGGGCTGAACGGCTAAACTTGTTGATGATATTTGACAGCTGCATGACATTGAATAAGTCCTGTGAACATTCTTGTGCATGCCGAAGACTGCACAATCAACGTGTTTTTCTGTTATTGTTTTTCTGTGCCTTGCAGTTTGTTACGCTGTATAAGAGAAAGAGTTTCATTCCAAGTTGCTGGACTTCACCTCAGACCAGGATCGCGAAAGGTGCCAGGATCAACCTAAGCCTCCAGACCAGCCGTAGATTGAGGGGTCCCTGACAGGCAGAAGGGTGTGAGGCTTAATGTTTTTTTCCTTTCTTTTTCATTTCTTTATTTACTTAATAAATGTTCCCTTCTTTTTCCACCTTTTATTATTACTCAATAAATGCTAATATTTAAGCAAATTGCTGTTATCGCAACTTCTCTTAACTACATTTAACCAAATCTGAAAAGAATCCCTTGTGGATACACTCTGTGATCCAAGACATTTTTGGCAAGTGAGAATGGGATTTGGGAAAATGTGTAAGAGAAGGGAAAAGCAACCTGATGCTCTGGAGACCTTCCGTTTTGAGGGGTGGAATGTGGCAGAGTCTGGATTTGGGTTTGTAGCTAATATATTAGCACAATTAGGGCCCCTGAAAGGATGGGGAACGGTTATAACCAGAAGAAGAGAGAGCTGGAAGCCAGGTTTCTGCGCTGTGCAAGTACACTGAACCTTGTAGAAGTGTTAACTCTTTGTGGACTGGTTTGAATGCACCTTTGTTTGTTGGTTGCTAAATGTCGTCTTGTGCCATTTGTGTGTTTTTGTTACCTGGCGCTTGAGATCTGGGGATACTTTGAAATTAGTTTGCATTTTGGGGATGGATGGAGATTTGAAAGTGTGTTGTGTGCCTGTATCAATGTGGGATATGTACGGTTAATGTTGTGTCCTTTTAAGAAGCCATCAGTCGTTGCGTAAGACAAAAATCTGCAAAATGTTGATTCAAAAATTTGGTTTGTAAAGCTTAGTAAAATTTACTTTTTGGAATTGGCTCCGTGTTATGTTTGGACTTGGGTAAATTTTAATTCCAGAAATTACTATGTCTGGAATTCCATTTTCTGGCCAGATTGAACTTCCAGATACTACTTTAACACATGAATGAACCTTTAATTCTGGATGATAAGATTGAATCATTGTTAATATCCAAGTGATTGGGACAGTGGAATGCTGAAAATGCAACTTCCTGTGTGCGTGGAGTTTAGGAGAGGCAAATTTAACAAAGGGGTGGGCTTTCCTTTGCTTCAAGAAGGAGGAGAGATAGATGATGTAATTACATGCCAGAGTTTTCGCCCCACCCCCTTTTCTGAATCCGTGGTAGATTAATACTAATTAACCCATTCTGCTTGACGTGGAATGGATGAAGTTTGTTTTTTTTAAAAGAAATTGGAGACACTGAAAGCTGAACTTATTTACAGAATTTCAACTTTGCAACACAGTGATGGATGAGCAACCCTCAAGCCATCTATCAATAGCAAATTTCAGTGTTGGGGAAGTACTGTGGAAATATTAATTGTAGTAAGTGTCAGAAATCTCAAAACCACTGAGCCTGGGTACACTTAAGCACATCATGACAAAAACTATATCAAGACTCACATGCCCTGGTATTCCAAAACATTTAAATGGAATGGTTACCTGTACATTTAAAAGGATTCTGGCAAATGATAAAGTGCATGCACACAGTCTAAATGGTTTCAATACATAAAAATGGTGAGTAACTTTAAGGGAGTAAACAGCATATTGAATTTGAACAAATTTACATAGAGATATATCAAATATCTAGAATGTGTAATTAAATAACTTTTTAAAAAATGTGGGTCCTCTTAGAGAAATAACAAACAGTATGAATCAAACAGAAATGTTTGACTTGTGTTTTAAAATATTATAAGATTATGTTCCAAGGACTACACAATTCTACAGATCTCTGGAATTAGATATGATGGTGTAGTTAAATTGCAAAATTGGCTGAGATTAAGTAATTAAGGATGGAGACTGGTAGCAGAAGACAAAATAATTAGAATAATGGGTTCAAACGGCAATTCAGGGTAAAATACATTTTAGTGAAAAAGAAGTTTAGATGAGATCACCAAACTGATAGCTTTATCTCAGCGGTGTT